CCCTCAAGCTTTACTAAGAGCGCCATATTTCTCATTCATTCTCCAGAGGCTCAGAAACGCCCGGGTCTGAGACAATTTTAACAACGGTGACGCAGAAGCCTCTGTGTTTAAAAGGTTTTTTTTTTTCATTAAAAAATCCAGGAGGTGATTGACAGCTCAAAACAGCAAATCAGTGAGCACAGAACCTGCCTCTGAATCACACATGTGCAGAAGATAAGGGACTTTTAAAGATGCAGTAAAGGATTCGGGTTAGCTTAGAATTAGCCTCCGACTAGCACCGAGTCAAAACCACTCCCTTCTCCAGAGGTGTGGACTCGAGTCATGTGACTTGGACTCGAGTCAGACTCGAGTCATGATTTTGATGACTTTAGACTCGACTTGACCAAATATAAAAAGACTTGCAACTCGACTTGGACTTTAACATCAATGACTCTGACTTTCACTTGGACTTGCGCCAATTGACTTGTAAAGACTTGCGTAACCCGGGCCATTTTTACCTTTCTCCGCATCTCTCTTTCTATCTATGCCGTCTCTGAAGAAACAAAGCCTCGCGGTAGTTGTAGCGCTCGCGAGAGAGTTCGAACGTGAGTTCCCCGCAGTTCGCGCAGCAACACTTCCCTAAACAAGCGGACTGCATTCACCGGTGGGTGTGTTGTCTAGGGGAGCTGGAAATGAGCGAGCTGCAGGTATTTATCGCAACCTAACGTCATATTTTGTTCTACAAACCGTAATTGATATGCTTTCACTACAGGCGCCTCATACAATTGAATCGACGCAGTTGTCACACTGTGTGCCGTGTTTTAAAGAGGAACTGGTGAGTCAAACTAGCGCTAGCCTGCGCTGCTCTGTTGGCTCTTTCTTATATTTTTCTGTGTGGGCGCCGAGGCCTATTATTATGAGTATGTTTTTGCTGTGCTCCTCCTGCTAAAGTTTGCATACATTAGATAGTTGTTTTGATTATGTGCACTAAGCTAGATTAATATTTGCACTATTGTTTATGGTGCATTGATATGAGAATCAGTGCGTTGACTGATTGAATTAATTTATATGAGACATTTTATTATGTAATGATATATTGGTAATTATTAGTGGGCAAAGCTCCCACTGAAAGATCAAGGCTATGCTCACACTCAGAGCAGCCGTCCTCCTGTGGACTCACCACCTGCAGAGGGTCGGTGAGGGGCTGGTGCTATGAGACTTGGGTGGCATCTCTGACTGCCACCCCCCTGACCCAGAAATGGATTAAAGGGTAGAAGATGGATAGATGGATATTGGTAATTATGAGATATTGCTAATGCTGGTCCAGTTGATGGCGAGCTGCCCCAGGTCCAAAGCCTAGACCCCTCATACTACCCCTATTCTACAGTAGGACATTTGGAACAATAACCACTACGGACATTAAACTGTCATATATAGATACAGGTCCTAGCCCAATACTCATATTCATATATGCTGCACTTGCTACTTCCCATTAAAAACCCCAAAGATAAAAAGTATGTTGACACGGACTGCTCTGATTTTATGTGTGGTCTGTGCATGTGTAACTGAACCTGCATCTGGCACAACATCCAATTAGATCACGTAGATAGTTTTGATTTATCAGCAGCCAACGACATGGAACAAACTGTTAGTCCATGGGTCAGAGACCAACGAGAATGCACCAGCAAAATGATTCCTAACATTATTTTGTTTGCCTACAAAAGTACGTGGAGACCAACAAGAAACGAATCGCGGTCAAAAAGACTCGAGAGGACTCGAAAGTCAAACCGTAGGACTTGGGACTGACTTGAGATTTGTTGGCCTTTGACTTGGACTCGACTCGGGACTTGCCTGTCTTGACTCGTGACTTGACTCGGGACTTGAGGGCAATGAATTGAGACTGACTTGTGACTTGCTAAACAATGACTTTGTCCCACCTCTGCCCTTCTCCTCCTGCCCTCCAATGAACTCCCAACACACATGAACGCTGTTTCTGTAACGCAGTCGGTGCTTTGAATATGAAAGCGTTAAAAAACATTATGCTCAAGTTTGTGTGATTACCCTGCTGTACTTGACACGTGCTAGCTTCTTCTAACAAACTAGCAATTAGCAAAACTCCACTGCCGTAGCTTCACAGAGCCCTGGCTGCGTCCTGAGTCTCTTTTCCTCTGATGTTCTCTTCATTTCCACAACAAACGAGTGGCAAACGTGAAACTTTGGGGGTTTTCGGTTCAGCCATTGTTGGTGTTTTAGAAAATCTGACTCAGTAACAACTCAGACTGATGCACTGAGGAAAAGCAGCCTGTAGTTTTCTTTCCGTCGGTCCGCTCCAAAATATTTATAATTTATTGTTTTTGTGGCTACAGGGTCTGGTCCATTCCTATTTGAAAACACATGATACTTGACTACTGTTGGGTCTTAGGGACGTTTCTCCACAGTGTTATAAAGTTGTGTCTGGATAAATCACTGACTGCATCTTTCACTGCAGCAGCCGGTCGCCTCAAAGACGCCGCTGCAGATCCAGTTGCGTGTGTCGATATTTTGTTTTCCTTGTGACCTGTCAATCATCTGCAGGAAGTGGGTGGGATTTACCAAACTGTATCTATTTGTTTATTTATATATTACAAAGAATGATCTGCTTCATACTGTAGAATAATAAGACATTTTTCTGAATATGAAAAACTCTGATTCTCTCCTATGTAAAAGCACTGACTGTGGAACCGGACAGAAGTTATGAATATTATTATTATATTATTATTATTATTATTAAAGGTGTTTGGATTATGAAAAACACGGGTCTTTTCCAGCGTTAAAGGCAGTCGTAGACCATGAAGGCCCCTCCTCACAGCCGCTGAACAAAGCACAAATGGGAAACTTTGAAGTCAAAAAGTGATGAGATTAGAGTCCAAATGCAGAGTCCCCCCCCCCCCCCCCATCACCCCCCCCCCCCCCCCAGCGGCTCCCTCCTGGGGAAGCTGAGCAATCTGTGAATATATCAAGTACAAGCGCCGTGGGACGAGCCAACTAAACTGCTGTAAATCCTCCAGCACTTTGCATGGATTATTCAGGAGGTGTAGCTGTAGTCTGGAGAGGAGGGGGAGGAGGGGGAGGAGGGGGGTGCAGTCACTCAATCACAGCATTACACCCATGGGAATAAACACAGGAGAAAAGTCCCTTGAAACTATGATTTTAAATATTTACTTTGGCATCTCAGTGAAACATCTCCGTCAAGTGGTTTTACATCCTGATCATTCAGTAAAACATTAATAATATTGAATTTATCTTTGTATCGCCCTGAATCACAACAGTCGTTTTCTCAGAGACCCAGGACTGAGGCTGTAGACCCAGGACTGAGGCTGTAGACCCAGGACTGAGGCTGGAGACCCAGGACTGAGGCTGTAGACCCAGGACTGAGGCTGTAGACCCAGGACTGAGGCTGTAGACCCAGGACTGAGGCTGGAGACCCAGGACTGAGGCTGGAGACCCAGGACTGAGGCTGGAGACCCAGGACTGAGGCTGTAGACCCAAGACTGAGGCTGTAGACCCAAGACTGAGGCTGGAGACCCAGGACTGAGGCTGTAGACCCAAGACTGAGGCTGGAGACCCAGGACTGAGGCTGGAGACCCAGGACTGAGGCTGGAGACCCAGGACTGAGGCTGGAGACCCAGGACTGAGGCTGTAGACCCAAGACTGAGGCTGGAGACCCAGGACTGAGGCTGTAGACCCAGGACTGAGGCTGTAGACCCAAGACTGAGGCTGGAGACCCAGGACTGAGGCTGGAGACCCAGGACTGAGGCTGGAGACCCAGGACTGAGGCTGGAGACCCAGGACTGAGGCTGTAGACCCAGGACTGAGGCTGTAGATCCAAGACTGAGGCTGAGTGTTCCATAATGATGTTGTGTGGAGACCTGGAGGAAGCCTGATGGACAGATGGCTCTAAATATTGACACAAAGAGAGAGCAGTGTGTGAGAGACAGGAGCCAACACACACACTAACACACACACACACACACACTAACACACACATACACAGACCAGAGCCATCATCATCATGAGCGACAGACACATACACACAGAACACAGAACACACACACACACACACACTCTTGTGTGACTTGTGTGTAGTTGTAACCATGAACCATTGTCACTTTGCTTTTGTTTCATACGTCACAATGAACTCAGATCCAATCCCACCTTAACATAAGCAGTAGTAAGTCATATTTATGTTCTTGTGTGTCTGCATAATTTGTAGTGTGTGTGTCTGTATATTTTGTAGTGTGTCTGTATATTTTGTAGTGTGTCTGTATATTTCGTAGTGTGTGTGTGTCACAAGACAGTACAGTCTTGTGTTGTGTTGTAAAAGAATGGTCTAAGTTGTTGTGGTTTTGTGTTAGATCAGTGTGTAACAGTTTTGATTAGTGCATTACCTCCAGAGAGGGACGTGAATAACTGATGATGGACCACACTACTGCTGCTGCTACTGCTGCTACTGCTGCTACTGCTACTGCTGCTGCTACTGCTGCTACTACTGCCACGGCTCATGCTATTGATCACTTTGACTTCCTCTGATCAGACTCAGGTCTCTAAACCTCAGGAGAAAACCTCAGTTTTTCTGTAAAAGTTGTTGGTCACTTTTACAAGTATGTGTTTCTGCTGCTGCACACCTGCATCTCTCTCTCTCTATCTCTTCTCTCTCTCTCTCTCTCTCTTCTCTCGCTGTCTCTCTCTTCTCTCTCTGTCTTTCTCTCTCTCTGTCTCTCTCTCTCTCTCTCTCTGTCTCTCTCTCTCTGTCTCTCTCTCTCTTCTCTCTCTGTCTCTCTCTTCTCTCTCTCTCTCTCTCTCTCTGTCTCTCTCTCTCTCTCTCTCTGTCTCTCTCTCTCTTCTCTCTCTGTCTCTCTCTGTCTCACATCAGTCCTGTGGGCATCTCTGACCACAGTTTTATTGTTTGTGTAATTCGGGTGTCTAATGTGCGGGTGGGCAGTGCTTACTGGCACTTTAATAATTCACTGCTTTTGGATAAAATGTTTGTTTGTGCTTTTAAAGTGTTTTGGGAGTCCCACCAGCGATGTAAGGCCCACTTTGTGAGCCTGCAGCGATGGTGGGACTATGGGAAAGTGCAGATAAGGCAGCTGTGTCAGGAGTACACTCATGGTGTCACAAGAGACAGGGCCCGGCTTGTGAAGGAGCTGGAGACTACAGTGGTAGAACTGCAGCGTTTAGCAGTTTCTACAGGAGAACGGGGGTGTTTACAGTCCCTCAAAGCACAAAAGTCGGCCTTGGCCAGCCTGCTGGGCACCTCTGCACAGGGGGCTCTGGTCCGGTCCCGCCACATGGATCTGACCCAGATGGATGTACCCTCTCAGTTCTTCTTCAGTCTGGAGGTAAAGAACGGGCAGAAGAGGATCATCCAGTCTCTGCGCTCGGACGGCGGTCGCCTCATCACCTCTGCCGAGGTCAGGAGCTTTGCCGCAGGCTTTTATGAACATTTGTATAGCTCTGAGCTGCGTCCCGGGTCTGTTATGGGAGGCCGGTTTGGGGACGGTCTGCCTCAGGTCAGTGATGAGGACAATATGAAACTGGAGGCCCCACTGACTCTGGCTGAACTTGGGCTCTGCGGTGGGGAGTCTAAAACCAGGCAGAGCTCCGGGCATAGACGGACTTTCGGCCGATTTTTACAAGGCCTTCTGGGACGTCTTGGGGCCAGACCTTCTGGAGGTCTTTATGGACAGTCTGGAGAGCGGTCGTTTGCCCCTGAGCTGCAGAAGAGCAGTACTGACTTTGCTCCCAAAGAAGGGTGATCTGCAGCTCCTAAAGAACTGGAGGCCGGTGTCGCTGCTCTGCATGGACTACAAGATCCTGTCCAAGGTGTTGGCGTCCCGGCTGAGAGGGGTCATGGCCTCGGTCATCCACGTGGACCAGACATACTGTGTGCCCAGCAGGCTCATAGGGGATAACATCGCCCTGATCAGAGACGTTTTGGAGGTCTCCGGCTCATTGGGAATCAACCTGGGACTGATTTCCATAGACCAGGAAAAGGCGTTTGACCGGGTTGAACACCAGTACCTCTGGCAGACCATGACTGCCTTTGGGTTCAGCCCTGGGTTCATCGCCCACATCCGGACTCTGTATTGTGACGTCATGAGTGTACTGAAGGTGAATGGGGGGCTCAGTGCTCCGTTCAGTGTGGGGAGGGGCATCAGGCAGGGCTGCTCTCTGTCTGGGATGCTCTACTCCCTCTCCATCGAGCCCCTTCTGCATCGGCTCAGAGCTGACCTGCAGGGGGTGCTGCTGCCTGGAGCACGACCATTTAAGGTCTCTGCGTACGCAGATGATCTTATTGTGTTCGTTAACAGCCAGAGGGATGTGGAGGTCCTGGCTGACACAGTGCAGGTCTTTGGTCAGGTCTCCAGCTCCAGGGTGAACTGGAGCAAGAGCTCTGCCACTCTGCTCGGGGAGGGTCTGAGGGGTCTCAGCCTGCCTGGGGGACTGGTGTGGAGGACAGGGGGGTTTAAACACCTGGGGGTGTTCGTCGGCCCTGGTCATGTCCGGAGGAACTGGGATCAGTCTCTGGAGCAAGTTAAAGGGCGGTTGAGTAAATGGAGGTGGCTGTTGCCTAAAATGTCGTACAGAGGGAGGGTCCTCGTTGCCAACAACCTGGTGTCCTCCGCTCTGTGGCACAAGCTGCAGAGCACAGACCCACCTCCCTCTTTACTCTCACAGATCCAGAGACTGATCTCAGATTTCTTCTGGGACAAGCTGCACTGGGTCCCCCAGGCAGTGCTGTTTCTGCCGAAGGAGCAGGGAGGCCAAGGTCTGGTCCATCTGGCCAGCCGAGGAGCTGCTTTTAGGCTACAGTTTCTCCAGAGACTGGTAGCTGGGCCAGAGGAGCTGCTGTGGAGACCGTTGGCAGTCTCCATCCTGCAGAGGGCGGGGGGACTGGGGCTCCCAGGGTTCCTCAGTGACCACACACCAGCTGGACTCCCGTCCTTCTACGTGGGCTGTTCTCGGTGTGGAGCAGAGTGAAGAGGCAGAGGCAGAGCTCCTCTCTGCACTGGCTCCTACAGCGGCCCCTGGAGTTTCCTGCCTGGGCGGGGCCTGTGCTGCGGGGCCGTTTCAGTTTGGGGGGGGTAGTCTCGGTGCAGCAGCTCCACAATGTCAGTGGTCCTCAGCTGGAGGACTGGGAGGCACTGGGAGTCCACCTGGGCCTGAGGCCGGGTCGGACCCTGGAGCGTCTCCTGTGTTTCTGGAGAGAGGGTCTGACAGAGGAGGACTGGACTCTGTTAGAGGGACACAGTTCAGGCTCACTGACCCCTGACCCCACTGACCCCTTCCCCAGTCTCATCCTCAGCCCGGACCTGGGCTCCTCCTCTGGGCCCCTGCTGGCCAGTCCAGTAGCTGCCTCTCTGGAGGCTGCTTCAGGGAAGACTTTTTACAGCCTCATGGTCCAGGCCTTGAACCACCAGAGACTGTGTGACCGAGCAGACACTGTGTGGAGGTCACACCTGGGCCCCGCCTTCAGCCCGGCCTGGGGGGCCCTGTACAAGCCCCCTCTGACCAAGAAACAGGGGGACCTGCAGTGGAGGCTGCTGCATGGGGCGATAGCAGTCAATGCCTTTGTGTGTAGGGTGAACAGGGCTGTGGGGGAGGGCTGTCCCTTCTGTGGGGAGAGGGAGACAGTGTTCCACTGCTTCTGGGAGTGTGGGAGGCTCAGGCACATGCTGGAGCTGCTGAGGGGCCTCTTCACTTCACTGGGGGCAGAGTTTAATGCTCAGGTGTTTGTGGGGGGGGTCAGGTACTCCAGCCGCAGCAGGAGGAGGGGGCGGCTGCTCAGTTTCCTGGTCGGTCAGGCCAAGATGGCCGTCTATGTGAGCAGGAGGAGGATGGTCCAGGACCAGAGTGAGATCAGTCCCAGGGCTCTGCTGGTCCGGATGGTCCAGGCCAGACTCAGGCTGGAGTTCGGTCTCTACAGGATAAATGGGGATCAGGAGGGGTTTGAGGAGCGCTGGGGGTTCAGGGAG